CTAAAAACAAGGATAAAGCTGTTTACAGATGTGTGTGTATGTAAATATATATGTATGTATATGTATATACATACATATATGGTATATATACATATATATGTATATATATAAACATATTTGTAAACAGCTTTATCTTTTTTTAGTATATGAATGTATGTGTGTGTGTGTGTATGTATACACACAGAAAAACCCAAAGGAATTTATATATAAACTATATATATTTTAAAAGAACTTAGTGAAGTAGCTATTAAATACAATTATAAAGTGGACCTATGTTGTTTACATTATTTTTTACCTGGCTTCTTTGGCTTTAGAAGAGAATACAAGGTGGTTCTGTGGTGCTGGTAATATTTTGTTTTATGATCTGTGTAACCAGATGCTGGTTACATAGGTGCATTGATTTTATGGCTATACACATGATTTGGGTATTGTTCTATATTTTTAATTATAAATAAATAAAAATAGTAAAAAGAAAAAGTAGTGAATTGAATTAGTCAGTTTTGCATTACTATAATCAAATACATGAGACAATTAACCTTATAAAGAGAAAACATTAAGTTCATAGTTGTGGAGGTTCAGAATCCAAGATCAGGCAACCCCATTGGTTTGGCATCTGATAAGGGCAGATTGTAGCACATCATGGCAGGAATGTGTATGTTGATTAAGCAGTCACATTTCAAGAATATGTGTAGGGTCCCAAGTTCCTTTTGAAACATACCCCCATCCCCACCTGTGACAAAAGTCCTCTCCTAAAAGGGTTCACAACACATCCCGACACTGCCACTGTGGGGACCAGGCCTTTACTTATGGACCTTTGAGAAACATTTATCCAAACAATAGCATGAATATATCATTTATACAAATTTTTAAATCATAGGGTTGTCTGTATGATTTATGGATTTCATGTTTACTAAACATTAAAACACAATGGAAATAGTACGTACATAGACAGCTACTATTGGAGTAGTTTCCCTTTGTTTTTTGTTTGTTTGGGGGGCTTATTGCTACCCCCACCCCCACCACACACCATTTCTTGTTACCAGGGATTGAACCCAGGGGGCACTTTAGCACTGAGCTAAACCCTCAGACCATTTTATTTTTTGAGACAGGGTCTTGCTAAATTGCCTTAAACTACCCTTAAACTTACGATCCTCCTGCCTCAGCCTCCCTAGATGCTGGGTTTACAGGTATGTACCACTGCACCCAGCTAGTAGTTTTCCTTTGAAAGAAGAGAAAATAGTTGGAGTTGTAACTGTTTTGGAATATCTTTCCTTCGAATTCTCATTTAAAATTTACAAACCACACCCTTAGCCTAACTAAAAGACAAATAATAACACTTCAAATTACTGAGAAATATAAAAGTAAACACCAAATCCCAGTGGAATATTTTTGAGGCAAACTCTGTAGAAAGCAAAAGCAGTCTGGAGGAATAAAATGCATGAAAAAAGAAGAAAGAAAAAAGAAGAGGAAACAGTGAATCTCAGATTGACCTGAAATCCCTTCACAAAGAGAAAGTCTACTATAAGTTAAAATTACCCCAAAAAAAAGTCCTGCAAGTTCACAGTAAGTAAAAGCAGAGAAAGGACTCAAAAGGTGATAATTTGGGTAAGGCAGCTCTTCAGTGGAGAAAAGAATAAAAAGGGAGGAGTTTCCTTGACATACAACTGATGATATACATACAGCAAAGACAAAAATAATAAGGATGTGAAGACCTAAACACCATATATATTCAATGTGAAATGTTACGTTCAGGTAATAAAAAATATACCTTTTTAAGCATTTAAGGAAGATTCAACAAGAAAAATGATCATATATAGGTTCCAAATAAAATATTAAGACATTCCGTAAAATAAATTTTATAAGTGTCTTGATCACAATTTATACTAAAGCTGTAAATTATTAGAAAATGAAAAACAAAAAGTCCTAGTCAACTGGAAACTTTCTAACAAAAAAAAATGGAAAGGAAGAAATACTTTTCAACTCATTCTGTGAGTCATTCTTAGATTTATAAACTTAAAAATACATTATCAAAAAAAGAAAGTAGAATCTGTCCACTTTTTAAAAATTTACGATTTGAAAAAATAAGTGGTAGAATAATGATTAATAGTGGTTGGGAAGAGGTAAGGAGAAAGAAAGGTTGGACTTGATCTGTGCAAGCTGTAATCATATATGGAAATGTCCCACCCCCATTAATATGTACAAAAAATACATGTCAATCAAAAATTTAAAATAATGGATTGCATGACTCAATCTGATTTAGATATCAGTTCTGTTCAAGCATATGGCACTGTGGTTGATCCTGTTGGCCTCAAATATAGTGTCCTTTTCCCCACTCCTGCCTCTATTCAATCCTAGGGAGGACTAGTTCCAATAATTGTTTCATTGTAAATATGATACTTTTCATAATGCATTTTATCATACATGTAACATCCAAACTGACCATTATAATACTTATTTGTAAATAAAGATACTGAAAAACTGGTTAAAAAAAAAAAAACAGTGCTGGGGTTGTGGCTCAGCGATAGAGCACTCACCTCACATGTTCGAGATCCTGGGTTCAATCCTTAGCACCACATAAAAATAAATAAATAAGTGAAATAAAGGTATTGTGTCCAACTACAACTAAAAAATATTAAAAAAAAAAAACACCAACTCAGAAATATAAAGATTGGTTAGTATGTTTTACAAAGAGAAAAAAGAATAAGATGGATGTATGGATGACTAGTTATTAGTTTTAAATCCTTAAACCTATTAAGCCCAAGTCTTCAGTTCTGTGACTGTTTCAACAAAATTGATATACATACATTAAAATAAGTTGAAAATCATAGTCTAGAGCATCTTTTATTTTTTATTATTATTAATAACAAAAATACAGGTTGTTCTACAAATAGGACACTGGAATATTATAGTATCCTTTACATATGTATATAAGTCATCTTTTCAATAGGATGTTGAACAAATGTGATATGTGAAACAATGGGACAAAATGGGTTAACAGAAGATAAGGCATTTCCAATATGATGAGAAGACAAGAATGACCAGTATCTTCACTAGTACTCAATATCATGCTTGAGGTATTGAGTCATTGCTGTTAGAGAAACCAATTAGAAGCATAAAAATTAGAAAAGCTATATAACTATTTTCAGATAGTATAGTATACCTGGAAAACCATACAAAATGTAAAATTTACTTTGTAAAACAAATAATAAAGCCATTATAAAAATTAAACATTATTATAAAATAAAAGTAGTACAATAACCATCAATTAATAAAATTAATATGTAGAAGTTAGTAGCCTTCAGATACATGAGCAATAACCAATTAGAAAATATGATAAAAGCCCATTTATACTATGAGAAATAGTATATAAAATACTTAGTAAACCTAAGAAATATGCAGACATTGTATGAGAAAACACATAAAATATTCCTGGAAGACACAAAATGAGACTTTAACAATTGGAAAAACCAAAGTAAATTTATATATAAACACAATAAAAATACCTATCACCTTTTTTATGGGGCTAGAGAAGTCAAATTAAAGTTCATATTCGAAGCCAGGACAAAAAGGAAAGCTACAAAAATTCTAGCCCTACTAGATGCTAAAGAATTTTATCCCACCTTTTTAATTAAAATAATAATCTGACACATGCATAGACAAACAGAACAATAGAACAGGGAAAAAAAAAAAAAACAGCCCAGCAAAGACCCAAGTGCGTATAGAAACACAATATCTGATAAAGGTGTCTTCTGGAGTCACTGAGGCTTTTAATAATGGGCTTTTTAATAAATGGTGATGAGACACCTGGAAAAAAAACATTAAAATTATAGATCCATACCTCACCCTGTACATGAAAATTAGCTGTACTATAGTTGAGAACAGAAAACACAGCCTGGTCAGAGGAAAGTTGGTTTTTTTGTTGTTGGCTTTCTTTTAGGCATGAATCAAAATTAGATATAATAGCTAGGTGGGCACCGTGGCACATGCTGGTAATCCTGGCAGCTCAGAGATTGAGGTGGAAGAATCGTGAGTTTAAAGCCAGACTCAGCAACTTAGTGAAGCCTGTCTAAATAAAATAAATTTTAAAAAGGGGCCTGTCTAAATAAAATACAAAAAAGGGCTGTGTATATGGCTCAGTGGTTAAGTGCCCCTAGGTTCAATCCCTAGTATCCCCTCCCCCTGCAAAATTTGATGTAATAAAAGATCAAACATTTTAAGTGATGGATTTGACCACTTAAAAAATTTTTTTTAACTTTTTCATGTCCTAAAAGCATTTTCAAAAGCTTTTGGAAAACACCATTAACAAGGTCAGAAAACATGCAAGAAAAAATACATGAATACAGTAGACCCCCACTTTTTCTTAGTTGTACTGTCTAGTTTCAGTTATCTGTAGTCAACTTAGATCCAAAAATATTAAATAGAAGATTCTAAAAATAAATAGTTCAAAAGTTTAGATTGGGCACCATTCTGAATAGCGTGATGGAACTCACACTATCTCACCCTGAACCTAAATCATCTCTTTTCCATTATATTCACACTGTTTACACCATCTACCTGATAGTCACTTAATAGCCATCTAGGTTATAGATCAGCTGTTGCGGTATCACAGTGCTTATATTCAGTAACCCTTATTTGTGGGGCTGGGAATCTGGCTCAGTGGTACACTGTTAGCCTAACCTGTATGAGACCCTGTGTTAGATCCCTAGCATCACCACCACCCCCAAAAAATTAACCCATATTTTGCTTAATGGCCCCAGAACAAAAAGTACTTACGCTGGCAATTAGTATATGCCAAAGATAAGCTGTAATGTGCTTGAAGTAAAAGTTCTGAACTTAAAAAAAAATATCTTATGCTGTGGTTGCTAACATCTGTATGGTGAGAACATAATCTATCCATATACTTGTGCAAAAGGAAAAAGAAATTCTTTCTAGTCTTGCTGTCATCCCACAAACTATAAAAGTTATGGCTACTGTGCATGGTAAGTGCTTAGTTAAGATGCAAAAGGCATTCAATTATGGATGTACATACAGGAAAAGACAGAATATATAGGGTTTAATACTGTCCATGATTTCAGGCATCTACTAGGAGTTTTGGAATATATCTTCTGCAATAAGTGGTGACTACTCTACAAAAATAAGATATAAAAATGGCCTTTAAACATATGAAATGATACCCAATCTTAATCATTATTAAAGAAATATAAATTAAAACTACACTAAATTCCATTATTCACCTATCCAATAGCAGGGGTATATGAAAACATGTTTTCTTAGTGAATCTGAAAAGAAACAGACTTTCATTACTATTGGAAATGCAGAGTAATACAACCTTTTGGAGGGGAATTTGGCAATCCCTGGCAAAACCACAGCACTTCTAGTAATTTATCCCAGAAACACACCTAGCAATATGAAAATACATCTGCAAAAGAGTTTTCATTGCAGCATTGTTTATAATTAAAATACAGAAACCATCTAAATCCCAGATTTAAAAGAATGATTGAATAATCAACTTCATATCCATATAATAGAGTTTTCTGAAAATAATAATAATAATAAAGAAGGTATCTGTGAACTGATATTCAACATGCCAAAAAAGATGAAATATGCATATCATGATACCCAAAAAAGGAAAATATGAGAGCATACATACATTTACTCAGTTGTATGAAAACACAGGAAGGACAAGTCAGAACCCAATAAGATTTATTAACTACAAAGAGGGAAAGGATGGGGAAAGGAGAATGTGGTAGAAGAGATTGGAAGTATGACATTCTCTTGAGTATACATTTTTGTATAATTTTGATTGTAAGAACTATGTTAATATTTGAACACTGATACAAATGATGGTAAAAACTGACTATAACACATAGGATAAAATAAGAATTCAGCAATCTATAATGGCATAAACAAATACATGAATAAATAAAAGGATGGAAGGGAAAGCTTTGCCTTGCATTAGGATGTCTACTATTCCTAATGAAATTAGGAAGTCTTGAAAAATACCATGATTTCAGGCCAGAATCATCAGGCATGCTAAAATTAATGAGTGAAAATTTTATGAGAAACAGGGTTCTTACATACCCTAAAATATCTTCCCTCAAAATACATACCAGTTTCAAAGGCAAAATCATTTTACAGTAGAGAAAACTGACAGATAAATCCTTTAAAAAATGATAAAATGATGATCACTAGTAGTGGAACAAATAGATATCATGTGCCTCCCTGATATGATGGACTGAGAGAGACACAACATCATACTTCAAGTACTCCTACCAAAAAAACCTGTGACCTCCATCTGATAGTGAGGAATAGGCTGTGACCCATATTGAGGCATACTCTATGAAATTAAATGTTCTATACTCTTCAAAAATACCAAAGTCAAGAAGATAAAGACTAAGGAACTATGTCAGACTGATGGAGACTAAGGAGATAGTACAACTAAATGCAATATGTAATCCTGGATTGGATCCTAAACCAGGAATTTTTTTCCCCCTTATCCAGTAAAGGGATATTAGACAGTGAAGTAGAAATACACTATGATATATATGTAAGAGATGCCACTATTTATAGGAAATATGGGATAAAGAGCACTATGTCTATAATTTACTCTCAAACTGTTATGTACATATACAGAGAAAATAAAGCAAAAATGATAAAATGTTAATATTTCAATGTCAAGATTTTTAAATTTTTAAGCAATCATAAAATGTTAATATTCATTGAAAATATAATGGGTACATTATGTCTATTACTTTTCTATATGTTTGAAGTATTTCACAATATTAAATTTTTTAATGTGCCTAAGTTGAAATTATCATTTATTGACATGAACTCTTTAAAATAGATTTTTTTTTTTCTATTTTAGGGAAAACACTGTATACTTGATGTGTCTGGAAATGCTATAAAAAGATTACAGATTGCACAACTTTACCCAATATCCATTTTTATTAAGCCCAAATCCATGGACAATATCATGTAAGTATAAATATCTAAAGTATAGCCTCTAAATACAAATCTAGTCACTATTGAGTAATTTATTTACCTTCCCTGCATCTCAATTTCTCTGTCTATAAAATTGGGACAATAATAGTATATATACTCACTTCATAAGGTGTTTTGAAGATTAAATAAGCACTGTGATATTAATCTTCACTGTTATCATCTTTAATAATACTAAAGTAGAAGGTAACAGATATAGAATTGTAAAAAAAGAATGTGTTTAAAAAAATAGAATCTAAACAAAAATTAAGAAAGGGCAAATAAAAACAGAGCATTTGAGGCAAAAGAACAGAGAAAGTTAAGATGGTATAAATGAACCCCAATATTTCAATAATCCCTATTGTTTGTCTGATATCAGTTCATTTCCATACTAAATGGTAGATGAAATTTTCTAAAATGCAAAATTTGTCTGATTGGATAAGGAAAAAATGAACGTAAGTCACCTTTATAAAAAACACCTTGAATTTTAGGTTCTAGAAAGGTAGAAAAATAAAATGATACACCATGCAAACATTAACCAAAAGTTGGCTGGATTTATATTGCTGTCAAAGCATATTTTAAGAAATGAATTATTACTAGAGATAAAGTTTAATAAACATTTAATAAAAATAAAAGATTTATTCCACCAGGAAAATATATTTATACCTTTTTGCACTTAATGACAATTCAAAATAGATGAAGCACAATTTGACAGTTTATTCCCCTGTGTGGGGGAACAAACTATAACTGCAAAATATTGAAAGAACTTATCACATCTGTCATGAAACAGTCACTTAAAAAATATTAATAAATTAGGTTATAGAATAACACAAATTTAAATCTTTCTGGCAGGGCTGGAGAATGTGGCTCAGTGGTAGAGTACTTGCCTAGCATGCACAGGGTCCTGGTTCAATTGTCAGCACTGCAAAAACATTTAAAACTTTCTGATGTACATTAAACACTGTATTCAACATCTACAAAATATCCGTTGATTTCAAGTACATGGGGAACAATTACCCAAACTAATTATCTCCTGGATCACAGATTTTAAGTGATTGAAAACAAATATCTGCTGATAATGAAATTAAATGAGAAATCAGTAATAAAAAGATGATCAGACAATCCTCATATATTTAGAAACGAAGCATTATACTTCAGAATGAGCTAAAGAAGAAATCAGAATAAATTAATACATGTTTTGAACTAAATAGTAGTGAAGTTGCCCAATAAATAAATTTGAAGGTTGTTATGGCCTTGCTGAAGGGCTGAAAGAACATTACAAAGCCTTAAATATTAAAAATGTTGAAAATTGGGCTGGTGTTGTGGCTCAGGTAGAGTGCTTGCCTAACATGTGTGAAGCACTGGGTTTGATTCTCAGCACCACATATAAATAAATAAAGTCTGTTGACAACTAAAAAGATTTTTTAAAAATCAAATATTAGAGGGAAAATGCTAAAATCTGAACTCTTTTGTGGTACTAGGGATTGAACCTAAGGGCGCTCTACCACTGAGTAATATCCCCATCCCTTTTTTTTCTTTGTTTTTTGAGACATGATCTCTCAAACTTGATATTAAAACTTGATTTTCTCCTTCCTCAGCCTCCCCAGTCACTGGGATTACAGACATGTACCACCATGACTAGGTATAAATTTAAACTCTTCAGAAATTAGAAAAATTTCAGTTAAAGAAGAAAGATTAGAAATTAGAAAGATTAGAAATTAATGAAATAGAAAACCTACATATATTAGAGAGGATAAATAATGCCAAACATGTTTTCTTTGGAATACAATAAACCATTAAGAATGATCAAGAAAAGAAAATAAAGGCATATCAATATCAATATCATGAATGAGAGAGATGAAAGAGAGAATACTACTACACGTTTAGTAGCCATTTAAAAGTTTGCCAGATGAAAAATGGACCTGGATATCCTCACAAAAGAGGATCTCCATATAATCAACAAAAAAAAGAGTACTGAACCAACCATGGAAATCCAAGTTAAAACCATAATGTTATATAATACTACCTACATACCCTAATATCTAAAATGAAAAAGACACCTGGCATTCGTTACAATGTTACATGTGTAAGGAGTACATTTACAATGGTGAGTGTTTTATAAGTTTGAACATAAGCTGAACTTATGTCTCTCTCATTCCCAGATATATACTCAACAGAAATCTCCATGTGTTAACCAAAGATATGTATTTGATTGTTGAGAGAATCACATCATCCAGTAATGAAAATGAACAGTCTTTACCTACACACAAAAGTATGGAAGAGGCTCATAAACAATATGAATTTTTTTAAAAATCCCAGACCTAAAAGTACATATAATCTATTACTCCAAGTTTAAATGTTGACTATGAAAGTTGCCCTTTAAGGGTAGTGTGGATGCTGGAGTGAGCACACTTTATTCTGGGATACTGGGAATGTTCTGTATTTTGATTTAAGAATTAAGCATACAGGTATATGTAGGTTTGTGAAAATTCATCATGCCATATATCTATTATATTGCTCTTCCATGTTTGAAAGTTATGTTTCAGAAAAATGTTAAGAAATTCTAAATAGTCTCCAAAAAAAAGATTTTGAATTTGTGACAAAAAAAAATGTTTCCACAAATAAAATGCCAGGCTAAGAGGACATGTTGAATTTTTCCAAAAGCCAAGAAGAAATGCAGATCTCACACAAATTTTTCAACTAACTTATTGCCATTAATTTGATACCTGATCTGAACTTTACAGGAAAGGAAGATGATGAGCTAGTCATAGTGATAAATATAGATGCAAAATTTCTTATCAAGATACAAGCAAATTGGGCTGGGGATGTGGCTCAAGAGGTAACGTGCTCCCCTGGCATGCGCAGGGCACTGGGCTCGATCCTCAGTACCACATAAAATAAAATAAAGATGTTGTGTCCACAGAAAACTGAAAAATAAATATTAAAAAAAAGATACAAGCAAATTGAATCTAACAATTTTTTCAAGTAAGGAAAATGTAACAAGTAGGGTCTATTCCTGGAATGCAGGGCTGGTTTAACATTTAAAAATTAATCAGGGGTGCTGGACATGGTGGAATCCCCATAATCCCTGCAATTTGGGTACCTGAGATAAGAGGATCGTAATTTCAAAGCCAGCCACAGCAACTTAGCAAGACCCTTGCTCAAAATAAAAAGGTCTGAGGATGTAGCTCAGTGATAAAGTGCTTCTGGGTTAAATCCACAGTACCCCAAAATAAATAAATAAATAAATAAGAAACCAGACAGTATGGCTTGTTCAAAAAAAAAACACTATATGAGCAAAATGGAAATATCAGTAGAGAGCAAACCTAAAAAAAAAAAAAAGCAAAAAACAGTTCTGGAGCTAAAGATAACAATAACTGAAATAAAAAATTCACTAGAAAGATTCAAAGGAACATTGAGCATTCAGAAGAAAAATTCAAAACTTAGAGATAGGACAATAGAAATTATCGGTCTCAGGAACAGAAAGAAAAAACATTGAAGAAAAGTGAACAGAGCCTAAGGGGACTGTAGGTCTCCATCATGTGGACCCAAAAGGACAAGAGAGAAAGGAGCAGAATGATTATTTGAAGAAATAATAACCAGAACCTTCTCAAAATTCATACAAGACATGAATATAAATACCAAAGAAATTCAATAAACTCTTAAGCTTTATAATCTCAGAGACCTTCCCCAAGGCACATTGTAATCAATCTGTTGAAAGACAAAGTTTCTTAAAAGTGACGAGAGAGAAGTAGTTCATCACAAGGGATTCCCAGTAATTACATTATCAGCAGAATTCTCTTCCAAAACTTTGGCAGTCAAAAGATAATGGATTGATATGTTAAAAGCACTGAAGAAAAAAAAACTGTCAAGTAAGAATCCTATAACTGGCAAATCTGTCATTCAAAATGAGGGAGAAATTAAGACATTTCGAAAATAAACAAAAGCTGAAGACATCCATAGCTAGACCTATCTACAAGAAATGTTCAAGAGAATACTGTAAGATGAAAGAGCACTAGACAGTAACTATAGAAAATACCAAGGAAAACATAATAGTAAATGGTGAAATAGTGAAAACTTTCCCTCACAAGAGAAAATTCCTGTATACCCGTCATCCAGCTACAACATAATTTATCAGTTTATAATCAGTCTTGTTTTATCTGTCCCCCATCTTCTTGCCCCTCCACTCCAGATTGTTTTGAAACAAAAACCAGACATTTTATCATTTTATCCATATATTTTAGTATATACCCAGAAGATAATTGCTTATTTTATATCATCAAATTTTTATAATTATTTCATAAATTTTATTTTTTCAATTTGTTTATTTAACCAAGTCCCAAATAAATTATATTTGTGACAATTAGTTTTTTCGTCTATAGATTTTCCCTCCTCTTTCTCCCTCTCTCTCACCACTGTAATTAATTGGGAGAGGAACCAGGTCATTTCTTCTGCAGTTTTCCCTCAGACTGTATTTTCTGATTGCCTTCTGATTTTTTTATTGTGTTTTCTGATTGCCATCATAATGGTGTTTAGTGTGTTCGTATGCCCCCTTTAAATTTGCAGATAGATCTGTAAATCACATTTTAATATAAACTTTTTACAAAGTCAAAACTGTCATAGATTAATGCTTGGGTTTTTTGTTTGTTTTGTTTTGTTTTTTGATTTTTTTTTTTTTTTGGCTTCTTTGAGGCAATGCAGAATGTATTGTAACCATTTTGGCATTCTAAGTATAAAACAGTATAATCTGACACATGTATTTTCAACAGAGCTGAACTTAACATGATTTTTTTAATTTGTGTCTTCTTTTTTCAAAAGGCATTATAATATAATAATTACCAATTTCAAAATTTATTTGCATAGGGAAATGAATAAGCGTCTAACAGAAGAACAAGCCAGAAAAACATTTGAGAGAGCCATGAAACTGGAGCAGGAATTTACTGAACATTTCACAGGTTGGAGCCATATGTGACAGTAACCTTTATATTGATACCATCAAATAATCAAATTTTCCAGATTATTTCATAAGATTTGTTTATTTAATATATTTTGCTTTGAATCCATATGAAGTAACCCATTCAAATGAATATTGAACTACAAATATCAGTAATAACTAGTACTATCATTTTCAGAATAGACCCTTAAGGTCTCTGGTTGTGTCTTGTGGAAAATTCATCTAGATTAGGCAGTAGAATGGGGACTCCTGCAATTTTATATTTCTTTGGTTGTTGATAAGGACAACATATACAGGAATCATTCATACTTTATCAGAGGAAAACACATCTGTCACCACACATTGTGTGTGGTAAGGTCACTTAAAATCACTCCATTAAATTGTAACCACTTTGCTATACTTTAGATCCCCAAAACTTTTTATTTTTAGAACAAAGGCATATATCCTTTGACCCATATCTCCCCATTTCCCCTACACATTAGTCTCTGGCAACTACCATGCTACTCTCTGCCTCTGTGAGTTCAACTTTTTTAGATTCCATATATAAGTGACTGGCTTGTTTCATTTAGCTTAATGTCCTCCAGATTGACTCATGTTGCAAATGATAGGATCTCCTTTTTGTTTGCTGAATAATATTCCATTGGGTATATGTGCTGTATTTTCTTTATCCATCCATTCATTCATTGATACACACTTAGGCTATTTCCAAATCTTAGCTATTGTGAATAATGCTGCAGTGAACAAAAAAGTGCAGGTATCTCTTAAACATACTGATTGCATTTCCTCTGGATGTCTACCCAGAAATGATATTGCAAGATCATGTGTGTCTGTTTTCTGCTGCTATAACAGGATACCACAGGCTGGGTAAATTATAAAAAAGTAGAAGTTTATTTGGCTTACAGTTTTCTATTCTGAGAATTCCAGAATCAAGGAGCTACAACTGATGAGGGCCTTCTTCTTGTGCCATAACATGGCAGAAGGGCAAATAAGCATACATTCGACTATGGAGAATGGGGCTAAACTTAAACCCACTCATGATAACTAATCCACTCCCACAATAACAGTTTTAATCCTTCCTTAAGGGAAGAGCTCTCATAACCTAATCACTTCTAAAAGGCCCTTCTGTTAAATTGGCAACTAAATTTCAATATGAGTTTTCAAAAGGACATTGAAACCATAACACTATGGTATTTTTATTTTTTTACTTTTTAAGTAACCTTTATATTGTTTTCCATAATGGCTGTACTAACCTACACTTCCATCAACAGCATCTTCCCCACATTCTTTTTTTATCTCTTTTGTTGTTTTTGTTGTTATTCTAAGGATTAAACCCAGGGGCACATAACCACTGAGCCACATTCTCAGCCCTTTTTATTTTTTGAGACAGGGTTCTGCTAAGTTACTTAGGGCCTTGCTAAATTGCTAAACCTAGCTTTGAACTTGTGATCCTCCTGCCTCAGCCTCCTGAGTTGATGGGATTACAGGCATGTGCCAGCCACCACACCTGGCTCTCTTATCTTTTGATAATGGCCTTCTTAAGGCATGTGGTGATATCTCTTTATGGCTTTAATTTGCATTTCCCTGATGATTAGTGATGTTGAGCACCTTTTCATTGGTATCTATGTCTCCTTTTGAAAAATGTTTTCTCAGTTCTTTGTTCACTTCTTAAATGGATTCTTTGGGTTTTTTTGTTGAACTATTTGAGTTTCTTACATCCTTATCAAATAATTTGTTTGCAAACATTCTCCCCATCCTTAGGTTGTCTTTTCATTTTGTTGATTGTTTCCTTTACTATACAAAAACTTTTTTGGTTGATATAGTCCCACTTGGTTATTTTTTATTTTGTGGCCTATGCTTTTGATGTCATATTCAAAAAATTATTGCCAAGACCAGTGTCAAAGAGTTTTTCCCTTGTTTCCTATAGAAGTTGTATGGTTTTAGATCTTACATCTAAATCTTTAATCCATTTTATGTTAATTTTTGGAAATGATATAAAATAGGATCCAGTTTCATTCTTTTGCATAAAATCATCAAGTTTGGGGCTGGGGATGTGGCTCAAGCGGTAGCCAGCTTGCCTGGCATGCGCGGCCCAGTTTCGATCCTCAGCACCACATACCAACAAAGATGTTGTGTCCGCCGAAAACTAAAAAATAAATATTAAAAAAATTCTCTCTCTCTCTCTCTCTCTCTCTCTCTCTCTCTCTCTCTCTCAAAAAAAAAAAAAAAATCATCAAGTTTTCCAGCATCACTTATTATTGAGACAATAGCCTTTCCCTGTTGTGTATTCCTGATACCTTCCCAAAGATTAGTGGCCTTTGATCCATTTTAAAATATATTTATTTAAAAAGAAAATAGTGGATACAATTCAGTACTAATCTTATCTCTCCAGTTAGTCCTTTAAATTATTCCTTACTATCTTTGGACAGTTTTTTGTTGTTTGTTCTGTTTTGTTTTAAGAGACAAGCTAGGGCTGGGGTTATAGCTCAGTAGTAGACTGCTCGCCTAGCATGCATGAGGTACTGGGTTCAATCCTCAGCACCACATAAATGTAAAAAACCACCTAAAACTAAAAAATAAATATTAAAAGAGAGAGAGAGACAAGCTATGTATGTTGCCAAGGCTGGCCCTCAACTCCTATGTTCAAGTTATTTTGAACTTGAACTTTTAATCCTTTTGCATTAGCCTCCTGAGTAGCTGGGACTACAGGCTCACACCACAGTTCCTGGATTTTGTTGTTGTTTATTTATTTGAAATAATGATCAGCCTATATTTAGTGTTTATATAAGCACCATTAAGCATTATGGTATTAAAAGCCCTGTACTCTTTTTTCTTTTTCTTTTTTTTAAATAATTTTAGAAGAGAATTCACAAGAATTGCACAGGAAAGTTTCTTATGCCCTTCATCTACATTTTTTGAATGCTAACTTTTACCTCATTTATAACTTTCTCTAAAACATTGAGAATAAGTTACAAATAGATATCCTTTATTTCTTAATAAAAGATAACTATTTTGTGAATTTTCTAAAAATCAAGGACATTTTCTTATGTAATAATTATACTATTAATCAAAATCAAGAAATTTAACATAGATGTATCTTCTCTAATTACAGATTCCATTTGTATATTGTGAATTATTCTACTGATGTCTGTAGAGCATAATGGGGGGAAAATGTTTTTTCTCTTACTGAATCCAATCTAGGACTACTTGTTGCATTAAGTTACATCTATAATCTACTTTAATCTGGAATGGTTCCTCAATCTTTACTTTTATTCATATGACATTAAAGAGTAAAGGTCAGTTCTTTTGTCAAATCTCATTTTAGATCTAGGTTATGTATTGGGAGCAGGGATATCAAAGAAGTGCAAAGAAGTACCCTCTGTGCATCATACAAGGTTTATGATGTCAGTTTGTACCATTACTGGTGATGTTATTTTTAATCACATAGTTAAGGTTCTGTAGCCTTATGCTTTCCCAGTTTCTTTTCAAGGAGAATCCTAATTTATAACCATTCCATTAATGGATTTTAAAAAGCAAGCAATTCCTTTGTTTCCCAAGCTAGTTCTTCTAAAATAAGTCATTGTATGCTGTTGTCAACCTATACTGTGAGATTCTGTGCTGTGCTATTGGAATAAAACAGAAGTCAAACTAGTGAACCAAGTGTTTTGCCAAATAAACTATTTCCAGGGATGTTAAGGAATGTCTGTCTTTAGGGGTCTGGGGAAATAAATAGCTCAGGGGCATAGTGCTTGACTAGAATGTGCAAGGAAGCCCTGGGTTTAATCTCCCCACTGCAAAAAAATAAAATAAAGGAATGTCTATTTTTAGCGCAAATATGAATTGTGGTAAAACTGATACTATGAAAACTTTTGATTACTCAAGCATTGTTAAATACATATAAGTCCTCCCTACACACCACACCTTCTCATAATGTACATAATCTGTCACCAAATAGACAATTTTACTTAAAATCTCCATTTTGTATTTTATTCTAGGTTTTTGAGTCTGTGGGAATCTACACCTATGATGATCTTACAGAAACACTGAGCATATTTTCATAGTATAATAAATAACTTATTTGACTTATGATTTTGAATTCTTCTTTAGTCTCTAACCGGTAACACCCAGTCTAATGCCTGACATACTAGCATTCTAGAGGAAGAAATATCAATCTATAATCATCCCTTTTTTCCTAATGGCCCCTCCCCCAAAATAACAAAAAATTAAAAAGTGGCTATGCTTGCTCTCTATGGTACTGTATCCATTCTCCTTTTTTCTGTGTAAATTTATGAAGAAATCAGAAAAGTTAAGGAAATATATAACTTATTATAAAAGAATAAAGCTAAGGGCTGGGTACACAGTTCAGTGGTAGAAGACCAGTCTAACATGTGCAAGACCCTGGGTTGGTTCAGTTCAGCAACACTGAATGAAGGAGGGAGTAATTGAGTAATGCTAACACATGCTCAAATAATAAAAGAAGAAAATCAGTGAATTTAATTTTTTTTCAGTTTTAAAAATATAACATCTGCTATGCAAATAGTAAAATTAAACAAGTGAGTAGTTGTTACTAAGCAAACAACACATAAATGGTGACTTCCCAGATGATTAACTACTTCTAAGATTATGCTGTTTGACCAATAATTGTAATGGCAAAGATAGATAATTAATGATTTCTAATTTTCTTTCTATTATTACAGCTATTGTACAGGGAGATACGCTGGAAGACATTTACAACCAAGTGAAACAGATCATAGAAGAACAGTCTGGTCCTTACATCTGGGTTCCAGCAAAAGAAAAATTATGAAGATTCATGTTTCCCTATTTCTCTTTTCCACAATCTCATATTCTTTGACATTTCTTAGCCCTTTCCTTCTGGAGTCTGTCTTCAGTTCTCCTTTCATGTTTAATCATATCCACTCATCATGGTCTGCAGTCATGCTTATTTTTGACATCTGATGTCTCCTTCACATTGCAACATCTGTATTATTCCATGTCACTATCGGTTTGTAGCCATTTTTCCAAATTAAAAATGGATGGCTGACCAGCTATTAAGGGTTTGGGGAGACGCAGAAAGTGTGGTAAAATTCCTTAATGTTTAAGGGAAAGAAACTTTAAGACATTTGCAGAAAAGCTTTATATACATTCTTTTCAAATTTCAATACAAATGAAAGAAAAGTGGTTTTAATCAATGATTTAGTAGACTTTGAGCAACTGTGCACGCTTAACTTTAGTAGCATGGTTTGGCCAATGTTATTACCTCTCAAGTCCTTTTCTCAATTGACTTCTGTTATCAAAGTAATTACTTCATTATAGATAAATAAGAAAAATGTTTTTTTTTATTTTAAAATTAATGTCCGAATTGACTTTCATAATTTCACAAGGGATATTCATTTTACATAAGAGTCTTTTAAGTCTTTTATTGTTTGAGGTTTTCTTTTTTCCCCAGTACCTTTGCTAGGAATAACAATGTTCAAATGTTTTTAATCTACTTGTGCAAACACTGTTTAGTTTCTTACAAAAATTGTTCATACATAATGATCATCACATTTTCTGATTTAAGGCCATGTTTAGGTGCTAGGGGAGCTCACCTTTTACAGTACAGAAGGTTGAGAAAATGTCATAGATGTAAATGCAGACAAGACATTACAGTGGAGATGTAGTAATTATTATGGGCAATGGAAAAGGAGTCCAATTCGTAGTCTAAAAACTCTAAATGTATTCTTAGGGGTCAGATTTTAATGAATATTTTACCCACAATAACTGCCTATTTTGTTATAATAAAGTATATATATAAATATATATAAAACTTTCTTTAACTAAACTGTAACTATGGGAATTATTTTCTTTACATAGTTGCACACACACAAACATATATATATATATATATTTAAAATATATTTTTCTTTTGCCACCTACTCCTAACTTTTTGTTTGGTTTTTAAATTAAATATAAATTGATCAAACTTATCTTTCTTAATCATGTGAACTGAAAACAGGAGTACAGTGGTTGTGAGGAGAAGCCTCTAGGGAAATTAGATTGCAATTAAAAGTATGAGCATGTTCTCCTCTTCTATAGAACTTTTCAAAAGGTTACGGGGATGGGGGGGGAAGGGGGGTGTTTGTTTTTGTTTTTGTTTTGTCATTTTTTTTGTCATTGGGTTTGATTTTGGTCTTCTGCCTTTCCTCCAAGTTCTCCTTTTATGATAAGAAAACAGGCAAAAACCCTATTTATGTGTGAGTTTTCCCCTCAGACACCTTTCATCCTATGTAGCTGCTCTGTACTAGAGTTGCCCAGATCATCATGGTGAGCAATTTTAAAGATATTTTAGTGAAAGGTAGAAATTACTTCAGAAATCAGTTTCTCTGGTCCTTTTTATTAATAATATCATTTGGCTTCCCATTGCTCTTTGGAGTTGTTTATTAAAATATGTGGTTTTTGACAACCTCCTCATTAAAATTTCTTAAATGAGTACTGGTTTGTAAAGAATTAGCAACATTATCCATTCCATTTATGAGAAAGAGGAGAACAGCTAATAAACTTTATTGTAAAATCTGTATGTTAAATGTGTCTTGAATTTTGAAAGAAAAAATTTATAGGCCAACATTTTCTTGGAACAATTTGGGTCATTTCATCATTTACATCCTGAATTCAAGAGCCATTATATAATAAATTATAGCTGTCAACACTAAATGTAGTAGATTGTTAGCAAATATAAACATTTTAGAAGAGAATTATAAAATCTCAAAGCTTCAAAAGTCACATCAAGATCCCAGCATAAGCTATTTTAAAGTATTCACTAAATAATCACATTATAAACCAAGAAGAAATATAAAATGATGGCACATGTTAAAATCTGTATCACATTGCTTTCTGGATATCTTTATCAAATGATTTTTGTAATATGCAACTTTCTAGATTATATAGGATTATTAATGAATTTACTAACTGCCAAATACTATGCAATAACCACTTTAGTATGTTTTAGGTAAATTTTTAAAAGAAGGTGTTAGTAACCCTATTATAAGGCCCAACATAAGTTAACTAGAAAGTGACAGTCTTGGTGTTCAGATCCAAGTCTCTCTGCCCCAAGTCTGTTTTTTCCTGTACTATGTTGCCTCAGCTTTTAGCCCTTACTGTGTAAGGCACTGTGACTTAAATTGTTATTTTTGTACCCCTTTACAAATAAGGAAAGAGTTTGAGATGAAGATCCTTGCTCCAAGTCAAATGGGGACAGATGGAGTAAGTCACTTCCATCACAACTGAAAAGACTTTACTTACAGAGCCAAGTCACACTAGTACTATCACAATGATATACAAAGAAGGAACCTCTTTAGAACCAAAATTAGAGCTACATTCAAAAGAAAATGTCCACTAATCTAATGAACAGGGAATGATATACAGCTTTATATGCTTATAAAATATTTCATGTTTTTATATGCTTCCTAATGTCCTTAAGTTGGCAAAAATAAAAATGCCTCTTAAAATGTGATGACACATTTCTGGTTGCTTTCCTGTTCCATAATTCTATAGGGATCCTTAATAAATGACAGAAACAAGTTTGTGGAACTCATTCCACCAAAATACACTCTGGTTAACAAATACCTGCTAAACACTGCTTAGCATTTAAACTCCAAACATGGCAATTTGGGCACTTTAATACTGAGCATAATTTGTTTTCTAAAGTATTAAACATTTATCTTCCAAGAGTATTCTCTGCCTTTAATACTCTTAATTTCATGTGGTAAAACAGAAGCCCAACAAACCCAATGTCTTAACAAAAGTCCCACTACAAATCCAGAGCACAGTCAGGATTAGAACCTTTAACACCTGATTCCTAAAATTTGGTTTTTCTACCATACCAGTTTTTTTCCTCCCGTGCTGCAAGCTAAGCTGAATGGGTTGTTTAATTCCCGGGAATTTGGATTACTGAAGAAAATATCAAGATTTTTCTATTGAGGAATTTGCAATTTGAAAGGTAGAGAAAAGATAGGTATTCATTTTCTGGCCAACATTTAGACCACTTATTTCAGCAGTGTTAGAAAACTCTTGTTTTCTTCCTTCCTTTTCTTCACAGTACATACACCTCTCACTGACTTTGGCAGTGGTACACTGTAATGTGAAGAACATGGGTTTTGGAATCCTAGCTGAGTCTGAATGTCTACTCTACCACTTAAGAGTTATATACCTAACCTTGAGCAAGTCGCCATCCCCCTTAACTGAGTACTTACCTGAACTGGAGATACTTTGAAATCAATAAGATTATAAGTAATAGGGGCTAGCACTTAGTACACCCTAAAGTTAATTCCCTTTTCCTTTGGATTCAGAAACCTGGAGTCAATTCCCTTTGTGCAGATTAACCTTACCATAGTTGCAGTGGGATTTGAACACCTTAAAGGATTGTTCCAAGTGTTGAATAGTGTATACAAAACACTAATCATATCTGATACTCAACATCCAATCCTTGTTCTTCCCCCGTTCTCTGGAGTGTTCTAGATGGTAGCAAAAGACTGAGAATATAGTCAACCATTCTTCATCACCTGTAGAGAAATTTTCTTTGACAGACTTTAAGAAATTATTTAGACTTCAAAATCCCTGTAATCAGATGTGCTCATCTCCTCTAAGGATCGCTTAGTTTTTTGTCGAGATGCTGTGAGTTGTGCCTCATCCTAATTCAACTTCAAACATGGAAGACATCTGGGTTTCTTAAGCCATCCTCATCTCTACAGTTGAAGTGGCAATTCTCCATAATATTGTTGATAGTTTAGAAACAGGCCTAAGATAGAGTGAAACAGTATTTAATCATTGCAATAAAATAGTTTCATTCGATTTGATTAAAAATAGAATGACCATAGCTTTTACTCATTGACTAACTTTCTCATCCACTTTTTATCTAGCCCAGCTCTTCCTCCATGCCACCTTTAAATACATTTACCTAAGCTGATAAAACAAAGCCTTGTCTGCTGATCAGCCCTATAAACAGAACTGGTGGTCAAGTAATTTGCTATTGTTTGAGACTTCGAGGAGCCGTAACCAGACCTGATCAGGGGGAAGTTTCACACTATGATTTGCCTAGCATCTCTAATAATGATAAGCAGATGGAAAAAAATTAGGGGAAGAATACCAGAAAAGGGTGAAGGCTAGAATTCTCTCCTGGCTTTGTATGTTTTTGGTTTTCTACTTTTTATTGAAGCATGACACACACATATAATGTGTAAATATACCTGAGTATGTGTGTGCCTCAATGATTTTTTACAAACCATCATTACCTTATATAACCAGCACCCCAGGTCCCTTTCTCAGCTCCCAACTAGTTACTACTACTATCCTAAAGAAAACCCCATCCCTTCTTATCTTTTTTTTTTTCTTAGTAGAATAGGTTTAATATAAAGTCATGGGGGGGGGGTTTATTCTTTTTTTAACTTCAGGGAAATGGATGGCACTAGAGAAGATTATGCTAAGTGAAGCTAGCCAATCCCTTCTTTTTAAGTTTTGTTCAGACAGTCCATTTTCCAAAAGTTTCTCTCATGTTTGCACCTATATACTCAATACCTCCCTCCTATCCTCAAGCCTATAGTTTCTGTTTGCCTTTCTCAGAATATCTCATAAATGGAATCAAATCATACAGAGCATTTTAGGTGTGGCTTCTTTCATTTGGCAAAAGATTTCAGAGATTCATATCACTGTGCATATCAATAGTTCAATAGTTTTTACTGCTGATACTCTCTTTCTTGGAATATACAATAAGTTTGTCCCTTTCACTGGATGAAGGACCTTTGGATTGTTCCCAGTTTTTTCTACTAAAATTTTGTATTTCTGTGTCATGCTTATATCCACGGGACAAGAAACAGCAGGCAGAAATGAGTTTTTGAGGCTGAAAGACATGACAGACTCCCCACCCCAACTCTGTCGATACTGTGAGCATCCACATGTTCTGGTACTTGCACAGGGGCCTATTATCCCAAAACAAACTATAGGAATAATAGATCCCATGAGCCATTCATAGAAGGGATCGTGCCCAAAAAGGAGTCTGCAAGAAACAACACTTTAGAATTTCAAACCCTCAGAAATAACATTGAGAACATCCAGTAGCTGGGTATGCCAGATTCTTATTACTGGTTCCTAAGGGAAATAAATGTTTACTAAGGAAACCAGAGTAGAAATTAGAAAATAGTGGAAGGTTTAAATAATGCCATTTAAATATACACCTCTTTAAAAACATCACTATGTAAAATATTGGCATAAAATGAAACCATCTTAACACCCAGCTTGTAATGATCAGTTACTCTCTTTTGTCTATTCATATACAGTTGTTCCTCAGTGTCCATGGGGGATGGGGGGTCTAAGACATCCTCCATAGGTACCAAAATCTGTGGGTCTTCAAGTCCATTGTATAAAATGGTGTAGGATTTTCATGCAACCCATGCACATCCTTTCAGATACTTAAAGTCATCTCTAGATTACTTCTAGTATGTAGCTCAATGTAAATGCTCGAGCATCCTCAGATTGTTGTTATCCTCAGATTTTGGTATCTACTAGAGGTCCTAGAACCAGTCCCACGGAGATGCCAAAAGATGGTGGTAGTTGAGCAACAAACTGAAAAATAGCTGTTTAACTTAGGTAACAGTCCCTGGAGACAAAGCAATGATCTTCTTGGAAAATCTGGGTTTTTTTTAAACTCCAAAGAATAGTGGTTTGTTTTTCAAACATATTGTCTATTTTCTTTGTATGGTAACCTCTGTGCATTTTAATATTTCTTACATTATTACAGACGTCTAATTCAGGTGCCTTGTATTTGAAGGAACTTTTGATGAGAGCTAGCTCCAGTGATTGGTTGGCATACCACTTGACCTTTTCTGCGGCAGATATTCCACAGGACCTTGTCAACCTTTTCTATTCTCACAGTATGATTTCCAAGTGTGTGATTTTTTTTTAATCATTTCTTTAAATTGGCTTTAGCAACCTTAGGGACTACCGGTGTTTATCCAAAGTAGAAATATTGAGCATTTTCCAGTTCCTGCCAATCAGTTGTTAATGACCAATTTCATTTGGACTTTTTGTTTTTCATTTGGACAGTTTTTACTATAGTAGAATTTTTTTTAATTGTATGGAAGTCAGTACCCAAGAAAATTAGCTGTGAAACTTCCTAATGTCAATGATATATTGAACAAAGATGGAAGAAAAGATTGGGAGCGATGTAATCTTTTTCCTTTAGGATGTCTAAAATTAGGTTCATTTACCTCACAGATGGAATAGCTGAAGACGAGGAAGTGTATGAAAGTCCCATATGTTCCATTCTGAATCTCTACAAATAAAGATTTTCTAAATCTTGTGAGAGTTATTTAATCAAAAATATCTACTTCCCTAGTGGTATGTAAGACTAGCAAATAAATTTTTTGAAGAGCGATACCTTTCCCAAAGATCAGTGCTTGCTTCAGATCTAGTTTATCTGATATACTCTTACAAAGAAAAAGCTTTATTTTGTAACTTTTCTACCTATTGCTGATAGTGGTTGTACATAATAGAATGTCCTCTCGAGGTCACCTGAGCTTTAACCTT